TATATATATACAACACACACACACACACACACACACACACATATATATATATATATATATGTGTGTGTATTTGTGTGGGAGTACAATGAAGGGATAACATTGTGAGACCGTTCATTGATAACTATATTGTCTTTGCGGGGTACCTTCATGTTGATGGGACAAGGTGTCACAGCTTGTAGTTGCGAAATGAAAGTTCAGCGAATGTGCGGGCACATACTCAAGTCTATGTTATCGCGGTTAAAGGTTATATTCCTATCACAACTTATGTTATCTGCATAAACATTCTCCTTGTATTCTACTGTGGCGCTGTGCCTGTGCCCTGTGGCAACAGGTGTAGTTGCCTTAGAATAAGTAATTGTATCTGCGTTCTGCATATCCCGTTTCACCTTAGTAAATTTTCGCTTGTTGCGAACCCATAGTGTAAAACATAGGCTTAGTTCAATTTAGAAGGCTAAATATACTAGCTAGTAGAAGAGAGGCCAGAGCTGACTGCTGAGAGCTGAGAGCGGAAATATGGCCCTCTAGAAAAGAATTAAGAATAAAGTAGCAGGTCGAACTAACGTCCGTACATTGTACAATTGAATTTGTACATATTCTATTTTTTTTTTAAATATAAATAATTTCAAAACAATTATATTGTTTATAGCCCACTCAGATAGTACTCCTGCTCAGTAACTGTAAATAGTCTGTGTTATGTATTTATTTTTTTGCTCTTACTCTGCTTTTGAGGGACCTTTTTTTATTCCGAAAGCTACATTTTTTTAACACTATTTTATATGACTTTTATAAAAAAAATAGTAAAAAAAAGTAAATCTGCAATAGGCATATTTTTAGCCATTGAGTCACACATAGATGACGTCACACATCACAAGTGTGTACAAAAGGTGCGTAACCGGTGAACCGCACATGTTGCCAAAATGCCTAGCCCAGAAAAAAATACAGTGATTTGAGATTTCTCTCGCTCATCTTCTTGAAGTTGTGTGTGACTTGTAGTTGTATAATTGTTTTTTAAAAACAAAGTTGTAAAGTTGTAAATAAATATTTACAACAGGGTCATCAGTCAGCCTCGCAGGCTCGCAGTGTTCACAATTTCGCATCATGTCTACGTCACTTGGCGACAGCCAACAGAGGCCAATCACCAGTGGCAAGTTGACAATTGACAATGAAAATCTCAAAATCAGAAATTTCAAAATCGAAAATCCAACGTCTCGCTATTCTCGTACCATAAATAAATAGTTGCGGGAGAAGAGAAAAGGTTCAACAGCACATGACATGCCGAATGGCGGGATTTTGGGGGTGGTCCGGTTGGTCCCCCCTCTAGGATTCAAAAGTTTTCCATAGCCTTCAGACTTCCAAAAGTTCAAACAAAAGCTGCTGGGAGTATTTGTTGAAATAGAATAGAGCCAAAATACTCTCTAGTAGTAGTCAGTTAGTCACTGGAGTCTTCTGGAATCTGTACGATAGCATTCAGGGAGTCAGAACTCAGGCCCTCAGAGACTCTCAGTCTCTCTAGTCTCTACTCTCTACACTGAGAGAGGAATAGAGTTGGGAATAACTGAAGACAACTGCTGGACAGGGAGACTTCTTGTTGTGGAGATTGGAGAGTGGAGACCCAATAATAGTAGAGAGAGGGCTGGGTCTGGAGTCTAGACTCTCTGCTGGAGACTGGAGGGCTGGAGGCCTGTCCTGGACTCCTGGAACCTCGGCAGGACGATTCCAAGTTTCCAACACTCTTCCCCAGCTATTTTCCGAGAGAGAGACCACTTAACACATCAAACATGGCCGTCAGCCGTCAGCCGTCAGGCCGTATGTATTTATTTTTTACGATTTTTTCAAAACAAAAAGTAATACAAATAATAACACGATTTTGTTTATTATGTATTATATTTAAAAAAAAATACACACATATTTTTATAAAAAACAAAACAAAAACAAAAATATAATACAGACAACATGCCACGAGTGTTTGATATTTATTTACCTTAACATAATTGAAAATAGTCGTCGTGACGGCGGTGACGCCGTCTGCGGTTCAGCCTCCTCCTAGACCCTAAATACTAGTCTGACCTCTGAGACTGAGGGCTGTCACTCCTGTGACTCCTGTCTCAGAGTTTCAAGTCTCATTACTCTCAGTCTCAGGGCAGGCCCTCTCTCTGGGGATATTTAGTGTAAAGGAATGTCTTTATACGGCACTGGTGACAATAAAATTATTAACCACCTCAAGCCCAGTTTCCTAACAGTCTCATACTAGTACATTTCGAGTTTAATTTGCTTAAATATAGGTGTATTAATGTAATTAGCGTGATTTTAAGCACTTGTGAGATGTGTTTGTTTTCTGCCAGGTTGTTTGATATCTGTCGGCTGAAAGCGTTCGACTTAAATATTAGATATTGAAGCGCGGATACAACCCATTTGTTGCACTTATGACAGGTCCTTGTCGGTCTTAAGGGCTTGACATATGTTAGCAGTTAGACACATGTATATAGGTGTCCTTTGTCGTTTCACAGTTGATACTATTCGTGTCTAACATACGTCGGCCTCTCCTCTGAGGCCGACAAAGAACTAATACAACAAGTGCAATAAATAGGTTAAAATCACGCTAAATACATCTTAAAAGCAAAGTAAACTCGAAAAAGTATAATTATGAGACTGTTAGGAAGCTGGGTCTGAGGTGGTTAATAGTTTTATTGTCACCAGTGCCGTATATAGACATTTGGTCAAAGGCAAATGGCAATTTTCCCTGACATAGAAATGCTTATATTTATTTTCTATTTTGTTTGTTAAACCCCCCCCCCTCCCCAAATATATATTGTGTAGCTGTTCGGCAGACAATTTCAGTCTTCAATGACTTCAGACTTCAGTTCAGACGCTCGAGCCAACTCTTGAGTCTCGACTGTCAAGTCTCAACAAGGATTTGTTTTTGTTCTGTTGATTTTTTACTGTGTATTTAAAAAAAACAAACTACATGGTGCATAGCCGTCAAAATAAATAAATCGCGAGGGAGTGACAGAGAGCCTGAGAGGTTGCCAGTTTCCATGATGTACTGTCCATTTGAATTTTGACGATTAAGTAGTGTTAACCAATAGAAATATAGTGTAAATACAAATTAGAAGTTGACCGATGAATATCTGATTAGCCAATAAAACAATTTGAGAACAAGAATAAAACGTACTCGTACTGTCGTACATAGTCTCGTAGATAGTCGTAGATAGTCGTCCAGTGTGCCGACTCACTGTCGAGAGTTCCGACTTCCTTCCACTGTACTGACTAAATAGAGAGTGAGTGACTAAAAATAAGTGTAGTAGTGTACACCTTTTTTTTCTTCCATAGCACTCTCTACTAGAGTAGTCTCTAATAAGTGATCTGAAACTAAGACTATAGTCTATACTCGATTACTCTCTCTCTATAGAGTCTAAGCCTATTTAAAATATTGCCTATTACGAAGGCTATTTTTTTATCAAAAACATAAATGCTTTTTTAAAAATCTGACACTGGACTCTGGAGTGCTTCAGCATTTCGGATTTCTTTAGTTTAATAACAGAGGGCTATGTTTGTTTTGTAAAAAAAGATGTAAATATTTTTCTATAAATACATACATAAATACATAGCCTTCTGGAAATTCTAAACAAAAATAAAAGCTCTTTTTTTAGAAGTGCCTACAGTATTTATCAAGAGGGCTATATGCTGAAGGTGCTCAATCCTATTTTTATACATCTATTTACATATATATTTTAGAAAAAAAAGGACAGCTGGCAGGCGGGCAGGGAGCCAGGGACCGCAGGGTGTTACTGTGGCAGACCCCATAGTCTTGATCTGAGTCATCCGACTCTGGACTCTGGAGGCTCCGACCTCATAGAGCCAGACCCCTGCTGAGACTTCAGACTTGGCAGTTGGCACTTAGCTGCAGGAGGAGAGTTGTTCATAACTTCATAAACACATAGCCTTATGATTGTAGTAAATATTTATAATACATTATGTACTGAACTGTACATGTGATTTTTGGGTGTTTTGTTTCATAGCCTTCTAAATTATACATTTGTTTGTTTTAGTATTGCTTTTTAGAAAATATCGAAAAAAGACTCTTTTTTTGGGTTTTTTTAATGAAAATAGTAATAATAGTATTTGTAATAAAAAAGCAGCCACTGTGAATGTTTGCCGATTGTTGAGAGTGAGGGGATATTTTTATTTAATGAGCTACATACTGATAGCTGATAAGCTGAACATGAAGCCGAAGGATATCATGTCGTCACGGGTTCGTTGATAAATGCCTATCTCACAATTTATACATGTGTGTTTACAAATACACAATATATATTTATATGATAGATATTTGTACTTTGTATTCACAATTAAACATCAATTGCTTCTTTCAAAAATGTCAGGTACAAGTGCAATCGACACAAACACAAGTCGGCTTGTGAATTGTCAGCAATGTAGTCTGGATAGCAAAGCGTCATATTCGATACATCTAGAAAAAGATTTGTATTACACTGGTGATCAACTATCAGGCTACATTGATATAAGGACTTCTGAGGCAACGACTCTAAGTGTATTGCACGTAGCTATTGTTTGCCGCGTCAGGTGGAATGGCGGTGGTGAGGATACTTCCAGTCAGACTCTATACAGCAATACAAAGATAATCGGGCGAGATTATCCCATCATGAAGGGACAAACGCAGATTCCATTCACATTTGGCTTGCCGGATGATGTTGCACTAAGTAGCGACCACGCACTCTACTCCATCAAGTGGGACGCAAGACTTGTAGAATCTGACTGGACCCCGGTGACGTTTCTTCGCTTCACCATGTCGGCTTTGTACTATGCGCAAACGACTATAGGTCCAAGAGTTCAGCAGGAAGTTGAGGTAAAGAGAGGTAACCCGACCTTTCGTGCAGAGGTTAGTCTCTCCCGCGATGTGTATCGGGATGGTGAACCGATTGATGTGCGATTAGCTATGCACAGGAACGGCGCGGTCGTCAAAAGCGTCAAAACATGCATTACTCAACACGTATTATATTATAGCGGCGTTGAAGGTGATTACAAAGAACTTTGTCAGACCACGATGGATCACTCGGAATTACGGCACTTGTCTGGCAAAAAGAACTGGTCGAAAATTGGGTCAACAGCAGGATCTACATGTATCCGTATGTTCAGTTGCACTCCCCACGCACCGGAAGGACAAGGCAAACAAGTTGCTGTGCAGAAGATGAAAGATAGTGACGGAAGAACCTATTCCACCTTGTTAGTACCGAGCACTACTGCTGAATGTACCGAAACATTGAAATCAATTTCAGTTAGCTACTCATTAGATACTACCATCCAAATACGAGGCGGCAAAAAAGTGCATCTCTCGGTGCCATTTACACTACAAGGTAATCTCCCAAGAGACCTCAATGAATACAACAGCCCAGTTGAGATTCAGAATTGCTTCACATTTGCAATCTCAGTCGAACAGCCCCCCGTGTATGATAATTACAACACCGCTTCTGTTAAGTCATATACGTGCCTTCGACCAGAATCTGAATCTTTGGATTCCTTATTTGCATTAGCGCAAATGACTTCCGTGCCAGAAAAGAAAAGGAGGTTCAGTCTGAAAACTTTACCGTCTCTTCGGTCTGTCATTGAAGGTCGTCACAATGGAGACAATCGAGTGGTCGACGAAGACATTTTGTTGTCGGAGATGGGTGTGGCGTCGAGAGCTAATAGGTTATTTCGAAGTCAATCCACTGTATCGCAATTAGAAACAAGCCACTTTCAAAGGCGACACACATATGCTGAACATTTACCCATCGGCACCACTTTATCCTGTACTCTGGTTGAGTAGTTCCGTTCTAATAAAGGTTGCATACGACAATCCACACCCGTTAGATACTCTCGGCTTTTACAGTGTTCCAAATTTGTTCTGGTCTGCATTTACAATTTGAATAAAATCGAAGACCGTTGCTGTTTCATGACGAGCGGTTCAATCTAAACAGATATGACTAAAGCCTCACTAATTGCATCGTGGGAAGCTTAATCTGCTACTATCACCACACAAAAGGTTTTAATATATATATCGAGGTTATTCGTGACCTTCAAAATGACGGGTGAGTCTTCTAGATAACTTCGCACTTATGATTGTAATGTAGAACTTCATGTACATGCGCGAGCCTATCTATTTCTTTCATGAGCGTACTCTCACGCGGGCGTCTTCCGTCCCTGCATACTGAAGCTGACAGCAAACTACGACAGTCAGAACGGTCTTTACTTTGCCACTAATCACTCCATTCCGGAGAGCGTTGATTGTTTCCCTACGATATGTGATAAGACTTCACATGTTCGGCTGACAGTATTCTCTAGCGCTTTCCATTTCTTCAAAAGCGCTCCTCTACTTCCAAAAAACCTCTTAAGGGGGTGGGATTCTAAATAATCTCGATAAATATCTTGGCGGTATATCCACATCCTCAGGTTCGCTCATTCCAAGCCCATGCGCGTTGCTTGGTCTTTATCGTGCGTTATCCACAGAGCAGTCATTTTCTGCTCACTGACGTACTTCCTAACACTCTTTTCTACTAAGACTTTGGTGTGGTGATCTAAGGCACTCGTGCTCTCGTCCAATAACAATACTTGTGGGCGTGACGCTATAGAAAGGGCAACAATCACACGCTGAGCTTCACCTCCAGAAAGCTGGGTCCATTCTTTATCTAGACTATCAGGTTCCATACCCCACTCCAACAGCAGCTCAGCAGTTGTAGTCGCCATTTCTTCGTATCCTGGAGAAACATATTCTTGTGCTTGATTCTTTAGATCAAGAATCTTAGAAGACCTAGCGTTGACTGTAAATCCCACCACCTCCCGTATAAACATTCTTGGTGTACCAGGTATACCGATTTTGTACTGCGTGACATAGCGCACCTGCTGTCTCCAGTGAGGCATGTCCTCAAAGTGTGACCTGCACTTACCGTTCAAGGTCAGCTGCCCGGCATCGTGCGGGACCAAACCTGCTACCAGCTGTAATAACTGAGACTTGCCGGCGCCGGAGGGACCCATGACGGTTGCAATCTCGCCATGTTTCAGCGTAACACACATATTGTCAAACAGTATACGCCTCGTGAGCTGATCGCTTACGCTACGACTTTGGTGGAATCCCTTTATCGTGGTGGTGATAGGCACACTACGTGCAATATGCTTCAACTCCAAGCAGGTGCTTCCGTGTTCGTGCGAATTCCCATTCAACAAACGTACGAAGATTGTGTTTTGTCTGGCCTTGTAGTCCGCAATTAACTGATCCGGGCTCTTCTCCTCATCACTGTATCCGCGAGCGCCATTCGTTTCTCCGTCTTTACTACCATCCTTTGTAGCAATTTCTTCATAGCCATTCTTGCTCTTCGAACCTCTGCATGCACAGCTCAACGCCGCCGTGATACACAAGAAGGCCTTGCTCAACCACCCCTTTTGACCGTCATCCTTCCTGCCAAAGATGTTCTTGGACAGTGCATGATTAGCGTCAAAACCCACACGTAAGCATACATACAGCACAGTTAACACAGTGCCGAAACAGCACGCTGCAATCAGGTACATGATAAGAATCTGATACTTGGCAGCCTCCTCCGGTGGTGTTCCCCCCAGGACTTGGCCAGTCATCATACCGGGAATGGATATCAACCCAATCACAGCCATAGAGTTGAGTGTGGGCATGATACCTGTCCGTATAGCATCACGCAATAGACGCATGGTTGCTTCGTGCTTCGTGGCACCGAAGCTCAGATACAGTTCTATTTCGGGTGCCTTTTCGACCAGGTTTGCACTGAGCGAATTGAGTGCAAGAGAGATGCTAGTGATGCAGTTGCCCAACAGCATTCCAGAGATAGGAATCACATACTGTGGATCGTAGACCGGGCGTGGTTGTATGATAATCCCAAACGCAAAGGATGCGAGGACGCTGACATTAACTACCATAGCCCCCAAAATAGCCCAGAACTGGCCCACAAACCAAAACTTGGGCCGAGAGGACGCCTCATATGCTGCCAATAGTATCATCAAGGTCAGATACAATAACACCACACTAAAATGCGTCTTACCCCATCCGAATATAGGCACCAGAACGTAGCCCACTGCGATCATCTGAACGAATGTGCGTATAGATGAGATACAAATGTCGCCAATAAGGTGCAAATCAAGTGCGTATGAAACCCCACAATAGCAAAAAAGTGGGATCATGGATAAGAATAAGTGTATCATGGAAACCGGCACTACGGGTTGGTGATGTCCGTTAGCTTCTGGCACAGATAAAAACCCGAACGCATCGCTCAGTGCTTCCATCATGACGTTTAGCTTATCACTTTTAACTTATAAGAATGAATAGGGTGATTCAATAGCATACGTAATGCTATCTGCCATGCAGGTATCTTGGATATGTGGTCCAGGTATACTTCGGGAATGGATGGGAGTTGCAACTTATAGTTAGTGTATGAGCATTCGGCATCTATTATGTAACTAAACAAAGCTTTTCTTTGGGTCTGTAGACTCTGTGCTGAACATATGTATCTAGTCAAAAATATACATCATGCTTTTAGATTTCTCCGTCAGCTTTTTTGGTAGAGCCAGTCGCCAATAATGCGCCATGCATTTCCATTTCAGAATATCATTCGCCATCGAGAGGCTTCAGAATGATCAGATTTAAAAAAGATAAATTGAAAGTTTCCATTGGCAGTAAATTTCATAACCTCCTAAAAAATAGAAAGAAGAGTCTGTTTTAAAAATTGAACTTCAGTGACAAGCTATGTATCTGTATTTTAGAAGGCTATGCTATGTTTGCAATTAGAAAGTCCACATCATGTCTATCATGTTTGGATCAAGTCCCATATGGTACACATTTTGATTCGTCATACCCTAATTATTAGGTATGGTTTTTTCGGTTTATTGGCGGAGGGTAATATTTGTGGGAAAATCCCACTTTTAATTGAACAGCGAAAGATTAAGAATATACTATAAATAGGCAAGCACAGATTGATACGTGGTTAACGGATTTATAATGACTTTTATTCGAGTTGGTTTAAACTAGAGTAGTTCTTATAGAATATTATTAGTCATTTACAGACCAACCACTGGCCACATATTAAAAAAAAAGAAAACTCGACAACCTAAAAAAACTTTCGAGTTTCCTAACCCTATGTATTTACCGAGTACATCTTTTAAGGCTCTCTCTCTATAGTAGAGAGAGTAAATACCGACTACAGAGAGATGTTCACGTTTTAGAGATTAGACAGCAATCTATTTGCCGTGTTGTATTGAAAATGAAGTGTCGATGTCAATTAAACGCATCTTACTCGAAACTAAATAAATTCGACTGCGACAAACGGATCCAGAGGCAAAGCAGTCTTCTAAAACTAACATGAGGGCGCAATTTCATGAAATAGTACCGCCACATATATGTTCCTAACTTCTTCTCACATCGATTCTCAGGCATTAAAGCAATACACCGCAGTGCTAGTTTTGTAAGGCTTTATTATATATATCTTCGGTCTGGGACAGCATCGGTTTCTCGGTTTCCAATGCACTTGTACGTATCAATTCATATTACACTAAGGCAAGAAAAGACATTAATCGACCCATTCCGTCAACGAATGGTTCATTTCTTCTTCTTGATCTTCCAGAAGCAGCACGTGGTGTAGTCTTGGGTCTCCGTTTTGCGTGCACTGGCCTTAGTGGGTTGTGCGCCAGCCGCAGGTGCCCCTCCAGCCGCCGCGGGCTGATTGGTGGAGAGATAAAAGCACATACGGTAATAAATAATTGTTAGTTGACGGGGTCGATTACTAAGAGAACAAAGTGCATAGTAAGGTTATAGCACCTTAGCGTACGTGAGAAGGTAGACGAACTGTCGGTTGAGTGTCAAGGTAAATACACACGGGTCTCTCCGTCAATTCAAGAAGATAAAGCTATGAAATGTCCACATTTAAACGTGCGCACCCACGAGGAGAATATTAAATACAGATAAACCAAAGCCGACCCAAAGGCACACTCCAGCAAACATCGTCCGCGAGATAGCAGAGGCACTACACTCCGGCAAATGCCAAGAGACCCATACGGCAATCAACACGATTGATATAGAGAAAGCGACATGAACTACACCTCGGCGGTTTAGAAAGTATCATTCAGCGGGCTATAACGAAGCCTCCACGAGAACGGATGGCAATACAAACAATCAAATGAATCACACTCAAGCGAGCAGAACGAATGCATAGACCTGAGTGAGATGACACGTACACTCAAACCAGCCGGCAGTTCTCAGGGAGCGTCAGACGACACGCCAACAAATCCAGACATACAGTGCCAGTGGGATGTGCCGACATGACTAATTCGGCTACACAGAACGGTCGAGATCACTAACAAGTCATTAAATGCGCAACCACGGATGGCACTACAGAAGCATTGAAAGAGGCACAGAAGGCTGTGCTCGTTCATGCACAGCAGGACCGTGAAGCACGCAGAGAGTTCGAATAAATCCCACTTCCAAAACATGATACTTCATTCGGGATACTTAAGCACACAAGAACAAAGAGGGCGAGAAAACATTAATAAACTGACAGCAGACAAACGGTAGGACTTACCGCCGCCGCTGCGTTATTGCCCTGGCTCCGTCTTGGTTGACTATCCTTTGGTGGGGATGAGTCTTGGGTTACAGATGGCTGTGACATCTGTACGTGTGAACATAGGCCAGCGTTGAGTTCGATATCGTATACGCTAGGAATAGATGAAAATATACATAAATACATACTTATCAATATGCATGCAAAAATATCAAGTATGTTTTAACGCTTTACCTATAGAACGTAAATATACAGTTTGATAAGAAAATAAAGTCATATACAAATAAAATATAAGACACAGACACACATATATATACACATATACATATATATACATACACAGACACACACATATATATGACCAACATACAAGAAATACAAAATAGTAATTTTCGCAGGCTTACTTGTGGCTGATACATTAGCAACAAATAAATAAAATGTATAGCTCTATCTATATTTCTGTTATATATGTAAATATGAAATATAGCATAAGTCGGAAACAAGCAGAAATGGATACACACACACACACGCGCATATATATATATATATACGCACACCCGTACATCACACATACAATATACATACGTACATATACACCAACACACATAAATCAATATAACAATGAATATGAATGTATAGATATGTATATTAGTATACATACATACACATAAATATATTGATAGACATAGACGTGCACATAAAAAAAAAATACATATACGCACACACACACACATATATATATATAAATATATAATTTATAAATATATATTTATACATACATATACATACATACATACATATACATACATATACATACATATACATACATACATACAGACTGATAGATAGATATAGATAAAAGATGTATATACTTTCACATAAATTTCTTCACTATGCACTTTCAGGATGCATCCGCTCACGGTCCATCCTAATACGATGGCGACAAGCGGTACCTGCTCACTACATAACTACAGCACTACACAAAGGAGACGCGCTCATCTCATTGGCTACTTACCACCAGCTCAGACCAATCAAAGATATCATCGTGTACCCAACCACCATCCGAAATAATCGTTGTAAATAACTTTCGTAAGTAGTTGTAGTCAGGCTTCTCGTCGAACTTGAGACCCCGCGAGTACCTGAGGTACGCTGCCATCTCCTCGGGGAATCCTTTGCACAGCTCTTCAATAGGCGTGGCCCGCTTAGTGTCCCCAATCTTCTGGTATCTCTCCTTCAGATTATCCGCTTTTAGTCCCTGCCACGGTAGGTTCCCTCTGAGGAAATACATAAACATATGCCCCAGCGCCTCGAGATCGTCGCGTCTGCTTTGCTCTCGACCCAAGTGTGTGTTGATACTCATGTAACGCGCTGTTCCTGTGAGCGATTTGTGCTCACGGTAAGGGATATGTCGCCCCTCAAAGTCAATATATTCTTTTGCCTGTGCAAGGGTGTATGGGAAGGGCCGTAAGCAGGGTGTGTGGGGAAGACAGCGGAATACTTTGTTTTGCAGATGCAGGAATGGGCGTCATGTATAAAGGCATATGCTTGTACACGCACCGTATATATAATTACAGATACCTATACATATATATACACAGATACACGATTGGATATACACATAAATCACAAACGTAGTGGAATCCCTGGTACAGTACGCAATTAAAACGTGCAGTATTCGTCCAGAGTACGTGTATGCACGTGTGCTTGTGCATATGGATGAAAAGCAAATGAAGATTGAAAAATTCCTCTGCGCCTATATTCCCTGACGAGCAAACGCATTCATGCTTGAGGCAAAAAAAAAGGGCAATATATCAAACTCTTCCTTGTGATTATAGGCATATTTGTTTTAAACTAGACATATCATAGTAGACCATACACAACACTGAGCACGCTATGACAGTCACTTACCAACCCGAAGTCGATCATGTATACTTTGTTTTGCTCCTGATTTTCCTTGCGTCCTGTCAAGAAATTCTCTGGTTTTGTATCGCGGAAAATGATGTTTTTGTCGTGCACCTTCTCCATTCGGAACAGCTGTTGTGGGTCAAGTGAAGATCAGGCGTGAGTGAGCTCGGTATGCCACGAATACGGGCAATAGTGTTGTGCGGGTGGATCGACAGAATGGATGTATGCGTCATGGCAGGAAAAGAAACCAACATTGTATATCACAGTTTCGCAAACGGCATATCCCGAGCTGAAAAAAACAAACAAACAAAGAAGTAGAGATTAGAGGGCGTGGTTTGTATAAAGCCGATAGGTACTTCGGAAGTGGACACAGGCAGGCAAGCACAACGGCCATCTAAGCTCCAATCGATCGAATCCTATATATATATATATAAACACACACACACACACATATACAATATAAATATAATACAATACAATATATATATATATATATATATATATATAAATATTAAAATATATATAATATTCACCTACATGAAACGTTCATACGGAAGTAAATTGCGGGATATACAACGAAAACTACATGGCAACAAAGTGGCGTGCAATTTCCGGGCAACACCTACCAACTGAATAGCGATTTGACACACGGTCTTGATCGTGAATTTCCGGTTACACAAGTCAAACAAGTCTTCCAGACTGGGCCCCAGCAGATCCATGACCAGGGCATTGTACTTGCCAGCGGGACCGAAGTAATGTACTCGGGGGAAGCCATCCGTATTTGTTAAGGACTTGTAGAACCGATACTCTAGGTGTAATTGTGGGGACCGCGTTTTAATCGGCTCTAGCTTAATGGCCACATCTTCATCGTTTTGAAGATCCTTGCCTGAGAGGTGCAGAGGTAGGGAATGAGTTGACGGACCGTTGTACTTTGAGTGGTTTAGGACAGATACACACCCGTGTTGTTCAATTAGACATACACGGTGAAAATAACTGCCGAGGTAAAGCATACAGAGAATGTGACTTCTGCAGGTACATGTAGTCACCACATATGAAATTATATAAACGAACTCAACACCTGCATCCATATACATTTCAGCGTAAGAATACATGCACAGTTATATGCGCACATCCCACCCGCAACTACTGCACATGGTGCAAAAGAGCATCAGTGAATGTGCATAGTCATAAGAACATAGACACAATCAGAACATAGATGCTGAATGATATCTACAACCTTATGACTCGCATGTCATTTTCAACATACATGATTCTCACGCAGTCTTCAACATGAAAAAGACTGGCATGTACTTCTTATTAAACACACACAATGTACAACTCACATGTGCACAAAAAGTTGAACGCATACAAAAATATGGATTGGTAAATCACACCATAGTATTTGTATACGTATCTATACTTATTGTATGTGTGAACCAAATGCTATTTTGCTATTTACAAGACAAATGGGCACATATTGTAATTTTAATATATCTATAAAAACAATAAAAGTAACGTCCTCACGCACACTTATATATATATATATATATATACATGATTACAGTAGTTTATATACCTATACATATATATGTAAGTATACATATTTATATATATACGCAAACAACAAAAACACCCAAAAGTAACACGCACACACAAACTCACACATTCATGTGTACACAGACACTCATTCACGTGTACACATAGACACACATTCATTTGCACACATGTATACGCACATTCATGTGCACACATACATACGCACATATATATAACACACAAACACACACACACACACACATATATATATATATATACATACATACATACATTTACATACGATAATATATTTATTGATTGAGATGTATTAGATATAGCTCCGTATAGTAGATTCATATGATAAATAAATATGTGTAAATATAAATATGGTTATGCTGTGGTCATTTATATATGTGTGTAGATTTAAACAGTTACGTATACAGTTGCAAGAATACATACATACATTTATATACATATCCATACATATATATATATACATACACACACACACACACATATATATATGTATATATATATATATTCATAAATATAATACATATACATATATATATATATATATACATGTCTGTGTGTACACAAATAGACATTATATATAAATTTATATATATATATATATATATTTATATAAATTTATATATATACACATATTCAAACACAAATACAAACGCACACACACACACGTATACACACACAAACACACAAACACACACAATCATATATATATATATATATATATACATATATATATTTATATATGTAAATACATATATGGACGTATATCTATACATCTATTATTAAATATTCATATGTGTGTTAATTAGTATGTTTAAAAATATATATTTCTTAAGTGCGTACGGAATATACTTCGATTACTTGAAATTCGTGTGGTGCGAGTGTACGTATTAAGATATATGTGCTCGTACAGTGAATAATTGTGATTTTCAGTAGCGCATTGGGCCTTACTGTTTCTGCAGAAGCGTAGCCACATATATTGCGCGACTGTATTGCGAGCGACAACAAGCCTACAAATCCTCGTCCCTACCACCTTTATTGGCTCAGTACAAATTAATGCTCCAGCCCATAAAGCGGATAGGGTAGGTTTCGTATGAGAGTGGTTATTACGGAAATAAAGATTTGTCCTCCACTTACCGAGATGGATGAACCCGAAATTCCCAGCGCCGATCTTCTTCCCAACTCTAAAATTAGGACCTACCATGGTTGTACGTCAACTAAGGTGGTGCCAGGTGTGCAGGCAAACCTAAACCTGTTGAATCTAATCCAAGAGCACGTTTCTATATCGCGCCTGTGTATTGGCGTCGGCTTGTATAGTGAGGTTTGGCATATACTGCCATACACAGAATATACAACGTACTTTAGTTTGCACAGTATTGTAGAGCTGTGTTGTGTTGTGTGCCCGAATTACACTCGGTTTCACCCGCCAATAGATACCTAATACCTATTTACACATTTTAACCATCACTTTGTGCCAATTCACTTTTGACCCAAAAGCCTCCCACAAATGTCCGTAAAACCGTTACCGAACTTTATAATACTGCTTTATTATTTCTAGTTTTGTACCATAAAATCTGATACAACGCCCAAATATTTCAGCTATAGAGTGAATTTGGGAACGATATTTAGGTCTCAATTCCTTTCCTCGGTCAATAGTAGGTATCTCAAGAATGTGTGATGCAATTTTGGTTAATTAGTAGCAAATCAATCAGGTTTTCTGATCTGCAATTTTGGAAACATTCAAATCCAAAAATAGATACTATATAAAGTTGATTGCTCTCAGAGTCTCAGACTGACTCACTTGTAGGAGAAATAGACCAGTACAAAGGGCTGGCTTCATGCACCTACTAGATCTCAAATCAGGATCTCTAATTTTTTTAGGACATATCTGTCCTCAAGCTCGACGTTTTGTTTTGTTTTATTTTTTTCTTCCGAAAAACAAAATTGCCAGTTTAAAAAAAATGAACATAAAAATATGCGCGCGAACATTGCACAACTGCCATAAATAAGCCCATTAAAACCCTCTCGGCCTCTCCTCTCGTCTTGTGTGCGTGTATCGAGATTCGAGAGGGCTATGCAACTGCACATAAATTCAATACATAGCCTCCAAATAGAACATTAAAAAATATTTAAATACAGACTGAGTTTGCCTCGGATTTTGTGAGAAATATGTACGCATTTCAGAACACACATAGACTGAATGAATATTCATAAATAGACCATGACTATTTTGATGGCCATTCTTGTCACCTTTCTGCTACTAGAGCATATGATAGTCTCAATCTACATATACACAGTTACAAATCCACTAGTGTGTTCAGGAAATTGATATATGTCCATTTTAATCGGTGGGTGAGCTATCATAATTTGCAAGCCTATCGCAATGCTAGGCACTGAATTGGTTTTATCAGTTGCTGTCATCTCCATTTGGAGTGTATAAGACCGCATAGCATCTCTTTGAGGTTCATCGCAAATAGTATTTATACGAGTAATAATATTCAGATACAGTTGGTATGGTACTTATCGAAAAAGAAAATATCATAAGTAGTTCTACAATAGCCGTGTATGTGTATAAAATAGCCGTGTATGTGTATAAAATAGTCGTGTATGTGTTCTTGGTTGGTATTATT